GTAATCAATAAATATGGTACAAATAGTATTATTGAATCACATTAAAAAAAAAAAAGTATTATTGAATGCATAAAGTCCAATGGCTTGTCTATTTTACTTTTGTTGTCACAGCGTCAGTCGATTCCCTTGTCATATCAAGTAAACTACTATTCGCAAGTGTATGAAAACATAGGGCTAGAATTGGGATCCAACAGTGCCCAGGACCACCTATCAAATCTCTGTTTGTCATTGTGATTGGAAGCAATGACATCTTCGGCTACCACCCACGCTCTGCAAGGAAATAACACCCGACCAGTACGTAGATTCCATGGTCTCAAATCTAAAACAACAATTAGAGGTAACAAAACAGACTTTAGCTTAGCTCCATGTTATTTGATGTTATATTGAGATTTCAATTGATTTTCCCTTTGGTTTTTGTTTTGTTTTGGCAGAGAATACATTCTTTTGGCGCTCGAAAATTTGTAGTTGTTGGGACTGCGGTAGTTGGATGCTGCCCAGCTCAAAGGGCTTCAAATGACGGAGAGTGCAACGAAGATGCAAACTCCATGTCTGTCCACTACAATGACAGCCTTAAGTCGATGTTACAGCAATTGAAAGCAGGATTGCACATAAACTACACCTTCTTTGAGACTTACAGTGTCATCACTGACATCATTCAAGACGCAGCCTTAAGTCGGTATTTATCTTATTTTCCTACTCCACTAGTCTTTCCCGCATGTAATGTTATCAAACTGAAAAGTAAGCGCGTGCATTTGTTATTCGCCAATTTCCCTAGATACTAAGTGCGTGCATTCTTATTCGCCAATTTCCCTATAAACTTCTTTTTTTAGTTAACTTGACTGAGAAATTCCAAATTCCATATGCCATTCCAGGATTTACAAAGACCGAAGCGGCATGTTGTGGTATTGGAAGCTTAACGCCATCGCTGCTTGCCTGCCAGTTTCGTCTTTGTGCTCCAAGAGAAGGGACTACGTCTTCTGGGACCGATTCCATCCTACAGAGGCAGGCAACTCATGGTAGCTTGGTGGACAAACTTTTCGGTGGTCCTTCAGAATACACATTCCCAACGAATGTGAAGGAGTTAATTGCTCAATAAAACCTCAAGGAAGCATACTCCTAATGAAAGACCCCCGCCCACCTTACCTTCTCAATGGGCCAATCGATTTTTCAGATGCAATAGAAAATTCAACATGTAACTTTAGTTTGCTTATAGAATACGAAACAATTATATACCAGCATCGCGCTTCACATGATTGTTAAAAATAAAAATAAAAAATAAAAAAAACTTCAATTTTAATATTCTACTTAAGAGGAAAAAATGATATATAGAAGAACTATCTGACCTAATGAATCAACCTTTCTCTTCAATGGAGAAGGGAAAGTATTGCTGGCCTGCCAGACGCAACTTTCAACCTTTCTGCATTCACAATGTTGGCGAAATTTTCTGCAAAGCGAAGTATAAAGTTTCCTAAGATTAGAAGCAACTGTTATTTAAATACTTAATTTCAGATTCATATTCTTACTTACAAGACAGGTGGCTTAAAAAAAGTTACCTTTAGTGCTTGTTTAGGACTCAGTTGAAAATAAGCCCTGAAAAAACAGATCTATATCACCTTTGTGAAAATCAAATGCCAACATCTTGTCCACCAGATTCTGCATTTAAATTAAGCAAAAAGAAACAAATTAAAGAAAAATTCTACAATTATAGCTGAAGGATATGAACGGAAAATTTAATTCTGGCTTCTTATGAACTTGTTACTCTATATAATGTTATGTTTCATATCTCAATCTGAGATTCCGTTTTGGGATTGAAACCTGGTATTGCTGATCCTGAGCTGATACACTCTCATTGCACAATCGCTCAACGTGTTCATTGTTTCCAAGAGCTTCCAATATAAATGCTGCTCTCTTAATAACTTCCTCTGGGACACCTATGTAAACAATACAAACAGTTCAACTAGAAAACTGAAGCTGCCACCAAGAGTTCCTTAAGATTTTAGTCCAGGGAAGGAAATACATGTATGTGAACCCAAAGACTCATTTCATTCATCTGTGTGTGTGTGTGTGTGTGTGCATGCTTGTGTCTGCGACGAGAACTCAAAAGATCTTTTTCTCCCAATTCTGGAAATCAGGAACACAAGTTTTAAGCTCCAAAGAGGTACCAGCAAGTAGCGCACAATGCAGACCTGCAGGATGTAAACAGACTGTGATTCCAAGGCATCCCAAACTTACATAGATGCAAATACATACGTTTATATACATATATACAAATGCTAAGACATTTTCCAGTTACTAATTTTATAAGGCACTTATCATGTTTTAAGCCATTGAATCAAGCACGTGCTTTATTAAAAGGCTGACCGGTGAGAACCTTAGCATCCCCATCCCCATCCCCCCTCTTTCCATATATATATGCATGTATTCACTCACCATAGCTTAGAAGGGCATGCCCAGGAACTAGCCTGCAAGAAATAAAAAGTAAAATTTGAATATCAAAGTTTCATCAACAGCAGTGAGAAAATTGAACATATGCATGAGGGTGGAATCAGAGAGGTTGCTGCTGACTGTAACACTTCATAAAGCCATATCTGATTATTTGAGGCTAAGACATGGTTAAACTTTTTTGACCCAGAAATTAAAATTGCCTACTGGGCCTGCAATTGAAGCAACTAGAATCATCCACTGATGCACATTATCTCACACAAGGAAACAAGTTGTCAAGATTTTGATCTATGCCTAGGGGTCAGAGGACACGGAAGTTCACAGTTATGTAGAGTAAATGTGCTAACAGATATTTAAATAGCATGTTTTCAGCATGACCCCGTGATCCAAAGCACCATAAAGGCATAAACCTGCCATAGAATGGCATCTTATTCATTCCTGACAAAATGGCACATTTCCTTTGCAGGACTACAATGTATAAAGGCAATGAAAGTTTACCTATACAGAAATACAATATCCTCGATATCTGTAGAGTTGTCAGGTCTCAGCACACTCATGGTGTAAAATTCGATCTTCTTGGACTATAATGAGAACAAAAGAATAATACCCATCAGTCTCACACAATTCAAGCATGGAAGTAGGGATTACTTGTATAGCAAGTCTACAAGCTTTCTTACTTTAGGTAAACAACTCTCACTGAATAGCTCAGTCAAATGAGTGCACACCAGAACCTACAGAAGAATATTGCAAAACACATAGAAAATAACCTTCAATTGTCATAGGGACCAGGTGCCCACTTAATGTAAGAAATGTGTTGAAAAAACTAATTTGGAAGAACTAAATAGTACTGATAATGAAATTCTCATGGCGTGAAAAGAGAGCCTGAAACCTTTGGAGGGTCGTCATGTGAGACCAAGTAGTTTATGGTTCCACCAAGCAGACCGACACCATCTGAAAGAAAAAATAACCTTCAATTGTCATTGGGACCAGGTGCCCACTTAATGTAAGAAATGTGTTGAAAAAACTAATTTGGAAGAACTAAATAGTACTGATAATGAAATTCTCATGGCGTGAAGAGAGAGCCTGAAACCTTCGGAGGGTCGTCATGTGAGACCAAGTAGTTTATGGTTCCACCAAGCAGACCGACGCCATCTGAAAGAATATCGAGAACATATAGGTGATACTGCAACTGCTAAACTCATATCAATATTATAGATTTTTTTTTTTGGTTTGAGAGGAAGCATGAAAAACTAACCTTCTGTAAGAGTACCTTTACCAAATTCATCCAATAGGCACAAAGACCTTGAAGTTGCCTGCCTGTTAATTTTCTCAATTGAACACATACAAGTCAAATGGAATATATTTTTTTAATACAGTGATTGGTGCAGCATCATTAGTTCTAAGAAATAATAAATACTTTGAAGCCATATAATCATTAAGCAGGGTCAGAGACTGGATATTACCGGAAAGTAGACAACTAATAATTACTAGTTATCATAGCTAAATAATTGTCCGAGTCACTTGGTATTGAACAATATAAACTCATGTCTTTATTAATACAATCTACTGAAATCATATGATTCATATTAGTTACTAACTAAGTAGTATTCTCAAACAGAGCAATTGATTTTCCCATTGTTCTCTTGCAGTAACGTTTAGTGTGCGTTTAAAAAAATGCTTTAACACATGCCAATAAGATAATCTTATTCTGGAGCACTACGAATTATGCCTCAAGTACTCAAAAGAAGCAAATTCAGGCTTGTCACATACATCAAAAGAGTTAAAAACGACATGCAGCCAGAGAAATAAATGCTGAAAACTAAATCGGTAAAATTAGCACAGTGAGAATTTGAAGTGTAGTTTGAATATACCTTAGCATCATCCCTACTTGATGCAGATCAATCATAAATGTTGACTTTTCGGCATTCATGAGCTGGCTTCCCATTGCGCAGAATATTCTGTAAACATTAATAAAAACTATGGTCGTTATAATTACGACCAATTTCATACAAGCATAACATTGAATGTGAGAAAGATGTTGGTAATATTTAGATCAAACCTATCCGTCAAACCAATAGTTGCAGCATCTGCTGGTACAAAACTTCCAATGTGGGACAGGAAAACAATTAAAGCTACCTGGAAAACAAATTTTTCAATATGTATAGATCTGCGATGAATTTCTACAATAGAGGCATAATTAACGGCCAGCTATGTGAAAGAGACACCAAACAAAATCAGCAAAACGATGACCTTGTAATAACTTTAAGTTCAATACAAACATCAATAACCCTCCCTTCCCTAGAACCAATAAAACAATTACTGACCTGCTTTATGTAGATGCTTTTCCCTGAATAGTTTGGACCAGTGATTATATTAATTCTTCCTGAAACGAAAGAACCATTAGAAATTATATTCAGTATGCAAAGATGGGATTTTTCATTTTCCTGAACTGAGTCAACTATAATTTAGTATTTCCACAATTAAATGTACAATTCCATTACCCTCATTTTTAATCGTTGTATCATTGGGAACAAAGGTGTCTACAGTCATTTCCTGCAAAACATGTCTGATAATTCAAAGAACTCTTGTTACTACCCCGAAGTAAATAATAACCTCAAGAAGTATTGCCAATAAATTAATGCAAATAAACCATAAGTTTATCACCTTCCATTTTGTATATCAATCAAGCAATCCATAGTCAAAGTAGGCCTTACATAATTGTTTTGACGAGAAACCAGTGCCAATGACAGAAAGCTAAATGTCCACATGAAGATATATATATTACTTAGTAAGAATAATATAGAGACTTATCAAAGAATGAGATGAGGGAAGGAAGGGAGCCAGGGCCAGAGCACTGATATTAAAAATGACTCTCACCAATCAAGTTCAGCGGCAAAATTTACAGCCTTAAGTAGGTGTTCTGAAAATAGAAGTATATGCGACACCAAATCTCGAGTAATCGCCCTCTCCATATCTGTATCAATAAATTTTATGAATGAAAACATTTGTAGAAAAAGAAAACTTAAAGTTAGACTGGAATGAAACTCTGAATGTCTCATTTATTAAAAATTATTCACTTAAGTTTTTGTGCTTAGGCTGCCACGACACACTAGTCATGGTTAAATTATATGCATACCTAGTATTTTATGATAGATATCTCCCAGTAAATTGTCCAACTCTCGTGTCTTTGCTGTATGATAAAAGAACCTTTTCGTTTCTCCTTCTGCATCAGAGAACTAAGTTTGATAGCTATATTTTCTTATGCAAATGCATACCAGTTACAAGATACTCTACTGTATTTCAACTTACAGCAAATTCAAAATCTTGAACTTTCTCCAGAGTAGCTTCATCAAGTTTTTCTTCAAAAATGCACATCAAGTATCCTACAACTCAACAGTAAAGAAAAGGCATGGTGGAGATGTATCTAGATTAAAACAATAAGGTCCTTTAAATTTCAGCATGTACTGATTATCTGATAAATAAGAGGGATCTTTCTGAGGAACATCTAAATACAATTCATATCACCCAACAAAATTCCATTTAAGATGCTAGAGGATTAAAACCAACCTATCTGATTTATATAAACAATACAAGGATCAAACTTTTCTTTGTACAGCTGAGGCAGTCTTCCAAGTTCCATCTGCGACACCTGCAAGGCAATGTACAATCAAAAGAAACTTGGTAAATCAGACTTCAATCTACTTTCTAACTAGATGTATAAATGAATTGCATAACAGTTACCTCTTCCAGAAATTCAGGCAATTCCTCATATATTTGCCTTAGCTCATCTAACTATACAAGAAGATGCGGGAATGATTTGTCAATTTAACATTAGAAATAACTTAAATTCAGACAATAGGCAGCTGTACAGATCTATCAAGACGCATAAAAGTCACAGAATATATTCTACCATCTCAATATTGAACTAACAGAAACGCCACACCACACTAGGCTCATAAACAAAATGTAAAAAAGAAAATTAAAAACAACAATAACAACAATGATGAGATGATGCACAAGGCAAATTCAACAATTAAGAATGGGAATTTGGGACTTATGCCAAACCTCATCACAGAAATCATCTTTTACAATCGTCTCATATCCCTTCTCCTTACTTCTACTTACATCTAGAACACCAATTACCTGCAGAAGACATTGGCGATATTATGATAGGAACGCATTGAAGGGAAAAAATTTAGAAGATTGACAAAAGAAGAAATAAACACTGTTTATATTGACTTGATGCATATCTAAACAAAGACAAAATTCTTCATTCTCCAATCATAAAGATCTCAATGCAGATAAACCCAGGCATAAGAGGAAATTAAAATCAATTCCATAATACCAGTAGGCTATGCCAGAAATTATACATATCCTCACCAACCCATGACACAAAAGATTTGTGGAGAACTGAATAAAAAGTTCAGAGACCAGTCCCAATTCATAAGGGAAGAGTCAAATGAATTTATCTCTGGAGTTGTTTTACCATGTTATTGTGGACTGTAGAGTTTATTGACATGGTTTCATTCTATCAAAGAGCAATCTCTTCCTCTTATGGGATTAACACTTAACAAATTTCTGTTTGTTATTGCAAGAACAGGCTGTAAAAAGTTGAAGGCTACTTCATAAACTAACCAATTCATATACATAAGCCAGTTCAGTTGTAATGCATGAAGCAGCCTGCATAAATTCAGACAACAGACCAAGAAACACATTAGTATATAAGAATAACAGAAAGAGAAGGTACAACTAACAGAAAATGCATCAAAAGAAGTGTTTTCATACCTTCTCAACAATGTCCAAATTCAAGTACTTTGCGTGCTCCTGAAGACTCTCAGAAACACCTACTTCAAATATCTTGTTCACATGCAAGAGTGAACAAACACTCTAAAAGAAAACAATATAAAAAATAATGAATCAAACGAGGAAAGCTTTCACTGACAATTGTGCAAAGTCAAGGAAAAATGACAATAGTATCATCACTCTTTATGAATATTCTGCTGGGACTCAACTAGAAATTTTTATATAAGAGACAAATTTCTAAAAGTAGGTGGGACAAGCACCCTAAAGCAAACAAAACAAATTACATTGAATTTACTCCAATCCTCCCCACCCCGACCCCCAAACAAAAATTGAGATACAAAGACACAGAAAAAGACAACTAAAGATTAGCTGAGAATCTAATTCTAAAAGTAATGTACAAGATTTATCTTCCCACAAAGGCAACGCAGGTTGTACTGTAGCTGTTAATTTGAAAAAATCATCCCAGCAAAGGCAAAACAAGGATTTCTGCTCTATCACCTTACAAGTCTGTTAATAATGGAGAAGGAGCTTATGATTCTATACATGGTCTCGGAATCCAGGTAATATGTTAAAGTTGACATGACATTATGGCAAGTTCCCTGAACAAAAATGCGTAACTCATTTTATTCTTCATAAAGATCTTGGTAATTGTCTAGCTAGGAGTTCCATGATTGGTTGCAGGTGTTGCACACACAAGTGCCAAGAAGGAAACTAATCAACAAAGAGAATTATGGTATATAAAAGTGACCGTGACATTAATGTTTGTACATATTTTAAGTTTTAACTAAGTTCTACGTACAATCACACATCCAGGGGTAAAAATGAATCAAAGTAACATCAATAAAGGACATCATCCACTAAATGAATGACAGACATTTAGTAATCAGGAAACAGGGTTAAAGCATAGCACATAGAAAAGAACCTACCTTTAAAAAAGCTGTCCAATCGCCACTGGTACATATTGAGCTCGGGGAGTTAAATTTCTTCAACAAACAAAAGAAAAGATTCAAAATCTTAAAAAATAAATACAACACGTGCAAAACAGACATCGCCGTGATCTACAGTCACTCTTAGTAGAAGGATAACAAAGAGAGCAGATCAAATTATCATTATGCTGTCAATATTTGTATAAAGGCCAAATACTATGTTTAGAAACAAGTCAGTAATAAACTAATTGAGCAAAAAAAGAACAACTAATATACTTTAGTTGTCCATGAAAGAGCTCTAATTTCAACAACAGACTCCAGTTGTAGCTACAGAATCTACAGACCATAACCTTTACTTTTGGAAAAGAAAGCCCTAAAGAATGAGACAGAAGGAAAAGAAGGAAGAATAGAGAATGCTACCTTGAGTATGTGAGGAATGTCCTTCACAGATTTCAGAGTTCCACGTAAAGAATTTATCAGTTCTTCAGAAGAAAGAAAGAATGATATCTGAATTCTCAAAGAAAATAGCTTTGACAATGACCAAGTAGATCTAAAATCTCATGATTTTAAGAAGTCAATTCTATATTTTCAAATAAGTTCATTCAAACGCTGTGAGATAATATTTATTCTTAATGTACTGATCTCAGTTTGCAAAACGGTTTAACTAAGACAATTCTAGATAGCATAAATCTTCTTTGGATAACTGATACAAGTCATATTTTAGTAGTACTTATGTAGTTTAACAAGCAAGGATACAGCATTGAGACGACTGTTCAAAGTTTCAAGGTCAAGTATTGGCCTTAAGAACCAGCTTCTAGTATGAGAAAAATACCATTCGTCAAAGAGCCTTTGGGTTAGAGTTAACATCCAAAGCAGTGGCATCACAAAGTTATCTATCAGAATGTTACCTCAAGAGACGTCTCCCCATGGGCGTTACACACTGAATTTAAGTACGAGTAAATTAGCTTGACATAAAGCTGCGCAAACCAAAAGAGCAAGAATTGAAAAATCTACTGACCTTATTCATCATGCCAAATACAGAGAACCTGCCATTAAAACATATCAGAACACTTTGAAGGAAAATTATTTGGCAAAAAATTAAGAATTTACCCTTCTTTTGCTCTACCAATGCCCATATGGCTTGGATGCTTATCTGTTTGGAATATCTGCAATGCCTCATGAGCTGCTGCATCAAGTTTAAGGAAATTGTTTCTATTTTGGTTGTGAAGGGAGTACATTTTGTCTCGATAACCTTCCTGAATTATTAACCCCCATCCCCCACCCCCAAAAAAAATCTAAATGTTGAAGACAGCACAAAAAGATACAGTGAAACTTCTATAACAGAATCGATTGCAATTGATGCATTCCCGCTTTCCATTTGTTCAAGTGTATCTACCACCCTTTCATTCTCTAATATGGCAAGAAGACCTCCACTGGTACGAACTTGGATATCACTTCCCATGTCCATCATAGAACTCAACTACAGTTGACATACAAAAAAAGAAAGTTATTGGCAATAACAGGATAAAGACATTCATTGTTCTTCAAAA